GAGAGAATGAGTCTTTTTGCATCATGCTATGCACAGAATTCAACAAGAAAGATATAGCGGGAGCCCACCACCCGTCAAATAAGCAGCTCTAAGCATGGCAGGCATGAGGCCAGCTGTGTCATCCTGTTCTGCTTTTGTACAAACAGATTTGTATGATCTCTAAACCTTTTGTAGATGACTGCAGCTGACGATACCATAGCGCTAAATTTTAATAAAGACCATTATAAACTTATGAACAAAAATAGATTCAGAGGCAGAGCTGCCTCGAACAAACTGTCCAACTACAGCGGGAAGGCCGGGGAGGGTTGGGGGGGGGGGCGGGTAAGAGATCAACCGAAGGACTTGTATGCATGCATATAAGCATAACCAATGAACATAAGACACTGGGGGGGTAGGGGAGGCCAGGGGATTGTCAAGGGCGGGGAAAAAAAGGAGATATATGTAATACTCTTTGTAATACTTTAAGCAATAAAACAATAAAAAAAAAAAGATGGCTGTGGTGGTTGATGTTTAAGGAAGTAATTTTATTTTAGACCTGGATTGTAAGCTCTTGCAGCAGTTGCATTGTTTCTAGGCTTTGGTTATCTTTGTTTGTGCGACTTTGGGTCTGTGTGAGATGCCAGACTCAGAGTTGGAGGTCTCCAGCTCTGCAGGACCGAGGGTTGCTCATTTCCATGCAGCAGCGGCTAAAGAAAGAAGCTGAGAAGGGACCAGACTTCCACCTGCGTGGACAGGGCTGATTTGACTGGGACTTGTGCGGACTCAGTGTCAGGGTCAACCGTCCAAACAGCCTGATCCAGGAGACTAGTTTTGCATCAACGACATCTTCGCATCGGCGACATCTTACTACGCTAGTGACCGAGGTATCAGCATGGAGTCAGCTGAAGAAGATGGCGACTGAGGCCAAGCAGATGTTAGAAAAGCAAGTGGAAGCTATGCTAGCGTTGGTGAACGGTCAGTTTTCTGTAAAATCTTGCGGAGCTAAATCTAAGGACTTTGAGTAAGATATCCTGAAAATGTTGACATGTTTGTAGTTTGATTTTGCATTGGTATTGCTTGTTATTAGCCAGAGTTTTGTTCTCTTGTTAACATTGCTGTTTATGGTTTTGTTAATAGCCAGGGGTGGATGTTTTGATGTTTGATGATGCTGAATAATTTGTTTAGAGTTTTTTGGATAATGTAAATAGGCGTGTTTAAAAACAAAAGTAAAGGGAAATATGTGGGGTGCAGCTACAGTGTTTTGCCCAGGTTCAAGCCTCAGACTAATGAAAGGACAGGGTCCTCTCATTGCCACGTGCAAGTCCCAGCTGGAAGGGCAGGGCTCTCCCAGCACAATTATAGCCAACAGCTATGGTTGTAAGCTTGAACCTATGGTCCGAACACGTAGCCCCACATGCCTTGTGATAGAGTTCGGGTGCATGTAGTTAAGTGAGGTTGAAACTCACGAGAATGCTGTAAACAACGTGATCACGCCCCTACTTTGCCTCGTGGCATCTGCTAGAAAATAAAGACACGGCTTGTGGGCGCTGTCTCCTCATCAGGCAGCAGTGTCCCACCGAGACCCAGCTTTCATTCTCTTGTCTGTCTTTTCTCAATCCTTTCACCCCCGCCCCCTCTGGGTCACTGAACCAGGCTGAGCTGGCATGGCACATAAGGCGCCCTGGGGCTGAGTATGCCATGGCCGTGCTGGCTCCCCACACAGTGCAAATGTTGAGAACCTTGATCTAGATCAGCGGTTCTCAACCTGTGGGTCGAGACCCCTTTGGGGGTCGAAGAACCCTTTCACAGGAGTCGCCTAAGACCATCGGAAAACACATATATAATTACATATTGTTTTTGTGATTAATCACTATGCTTTAATTATGTTCAATTTGTAACAATGAAAATACATCCTGCATGTCAGATATTTACATTAGGATTCATAACAGTAGCAAAATTACAGTTATGAAGTAGCAACGAAAATAATTTTATAGTTGGGGTCACCACAACATGGGAACTGTATTAAAGGGTCGCGGCATTAGGAAGGTTGAGAACCACTGATCTAGATCTAAAGCATAGAAGAAAGAACATAAGTTTTTCACACATTAAAGATGAAAAAGGAGAAAGAGGGAGAACTAGAGTGAAAACCAGAAAAAGAGGGAGGGAGGGAGTGGAGAAGGAAGAAAGGGAGAGAGAAAAAGAAGTGATAGATAGATGAATAGATAGATAGATACATAGATAGATGACAGATAGAAGGTTTGGGAGCCAGAAGGACTAGAAATCCCAGATCCCCCACTTCCTGTGCACACTAACAAGGGACTTTCCCTCTCTGAGTCTCAGTTTTCACACCTGTGAAGGTAGGGTCATCATACATTCTCATGGGAATGAGGAGAAGGTGAGGATTCTGGGATGGGATGCATATGAAGTCCCTGGTCTAGACAAGCAATCATGAGGTGGGCGCCTCCTCTCTCCTCCCCTCGTGGTCCCCCAGCATCCTAGGATCCTCTAGTTCATTGGCTGGGATAGTGACCAGAGGAAAGCTGCTCCTGGGCTTATGACTGGGGCACTTTAGGGGTGCTAATAGTAAGTATATGTGGGCAGTAGACATCTGGGGTCTTCTCCAGCACACCTGGACACCCATGTGTATCAGTGGACCCCAGGAGCCAGGTCCCTGCAGTCCCAGCAGGGAGCAGTTGAGAGAATTGAGCAAATGCCTTATTATCAGCTCCCCTGTCAGCACCCCAGCCTGGGGCAATCATCCTGGCCTCTTCCCACTTTCCCAAAAGCCTAATATAAGGACTGCCTCTGGACCCAGCAGTCTGAGACACCAAGAGTGGAGGTCTCTGACTCTTGAGAGGTGAGTGCTCCCCCAGCTGCCCAGGGAGGAGGGGTCCAAGGCTTGGGAGGAAGCAGAAGCCTATATGGCAAACCCTAGGAGGCCTGTCCTTAGGATCCTGATGACCACTGTCCTTCCACTCTGTCCTCATTGTAGTAAAATGGGCCTTGACCCTGAGTAGAACTTTTCCTGAAGAGGCAAGGGTCTGGGCTAAGTGTGGTCCCAGGGGCCAGTGATCGAATGCTCAGGTAAAAAGGACTTTTCCTGCATCTCCAGGTCAGCATGTGTTCACTGGGGGAGAAGGAGCTCTCTAGTTTGCCTTTAATCAGCTACTTAAACAAACATTGCATCTCTGTTGTGTGACAGGGGCCGTGCAGACACAGTGAGCAGACCCACGGCGGGAAGTGAAGCCGTGTCCCTGCCACAAGAACGAGTGAATATGAAACTCCCCCTGCTCCTGCTCCTCCTGCTGGGGACAGTTGCTGCTCTTCATCTGGGTAAGTCCTCCCTTCCCTTCTCATCCAGCTTGACCCCTTCTCCTCTTTCTGGCAGCTCTTTCACTCTCAGGGCCAGGGCCACAGCTTTTTTTTCTTCAGTGGACTCAGCTCCCCTCAGGTAAGATCTCTCCTGGACTCAGAAATGTGACCTGAACATTCTGTCAGGGCTCCTTCTCCAGCAAAAACCACCCACCTTCTCAGAGGTGCTTCTTCCTACCCCGAAATACACACCTGTCAGCCAGTGCCAGGTGCTCACCCCGTCATGTGAGTGCTCACCTCACCCCACAGGGAGGAGGTCCTTCTGGCCTAGGCTCCAGAAGGAGGCACTAGGAAGGCTTGAGTTGGAGGTCAGAGCTGTCCGTGGTCCTGGAAGAAGGAACTCCTGGCCTGATGGCAGGCTACCATTCTTCCCAGGGAATGATGCCCCCTACTCCAACAGCCAAGAGACACAGGCAGACCTGAGCCAGGATCTGGAAGGCTCAGGGGAGCAGGAGGGAGAGTCAGTCCTGACTGAGGAGGCGATTCAGTCTGAAGGAGAGCAGGTGGAGTCTTCCAGCTGCCAAGATGCCTTTGAGGACGAGAAGGCCATGGAGTCGGACCCAGGTGCCCTAGAGGAGAACTTGCAGTGCCCCAGGGCAGAGGACACAGAGGAAATGCTGGGCAGTCCTGGGTGCAAGACCTGCCGCTACTGGTTGGTGAAGACTGCCCAAACATTTGCACGCGCTCAGGTAAGTGGCAGGGAGACGACTATGGAATGAGGACCAGAGGCAGAAGAGAGTGGGTTCCACCTCCTGTTCCCTATTCATTTACACTAGTGGTTCTCAAACACTAGTGAGCAGCAGAATCTCCTAGAGATGTTGTTGAAGCATAGATTTCAGGGTTAGCAAGTCTGGGGTGCAGCCCAAGAGTTTGCATTTAGGACCAAGTGCCAGGTGATGATGATTATTCTCAGTATTATTATTGTTTCCTGCAAGAAGTTCCCGGTGACAGATGAAGGACCAAGAGATGGAATTGGAGGAGCAAGGAGATCCCTGATTTCTGACCTGACCAGGGATGGAGAGCTCTCTCCTGGAGACTCAGAAACTTGAGGGGGAAAAAACCCCAGTGAATTATCTACCCCACCTCTTCTTTCTGCAGGACACATGCAGGAGGTGCTACAGAGGCAGTCTCGTCTCTATCCATAACCTCAGCGTCAACAATCGACTCCAGTGCATGGTCAGTAATATCAACCAGCAAAGGGTCTGGATTGGAGGATTCATCAGGGGCGCGGTAAGTGAGGGGCCAGCTCCCAGGTACAGGAAGTTCTCTCTGGCCTCACGCCTCATTCCAGCAGCCAAGTGACCTTCTTGTGGGAGGTCGTGGCAGAGCTGGCTGGTGTGGCTAAAGAGAACTGGTGATTGTGCGCATCTCTTCCCAACTCCATGTTTAGTGATTTCATGGCATAGTATTTACCTCAATGAAATTGATTATTATTACATATCAGGGTTACTCACCCTCTGCCTTCTCACTTTCCCTCAGAGCTGGTTGATAAACAGTTACCAGCTCACCACTGGAGTCTGGATATCTGTCCCTTACCTGGCTTGCACATTTACCAGTTGAATGGCTTCCTCATGTCTAAAGTGAGGGTCCTTCTCTCAGACTGGTTCTGGGATAGTGGGTGAATAGTGCTATTATATTTGCTACTCAAGTATGGTCCATGGACCAAGTAGTATTAGCATTTCCTAGTAGCTGGTTAGGAATGCACAGTCTTGGACCCCATCAGAGACTCCTGAATCAGCATCTCCATTTTAAAAAGGTCTGCAGGAGACTTGTATCTACAGAAAGTTTGAGAAGCCTGGCTGTGTGAGGCGGGGAGGGACCACTGGTCTTCCATTGTCATCGCCTGCAAACCCTGAGGGGTGGGTCTCCTGGATATATGGCTCCTAGCTGGGTGGGCAGTGCCCAGAAAGGAACACTCAATGGGCATTTTCTGGAACCTCTGATCTGTCCGTCTTCCTGGTCCCCTGCCTCTGACCCAACCTATCCCCTATCTTGATCTAGTGCTCCAGGTTACACTGGATTGATGGGAGTGCTGCGAATTTTAGACACTGGGCTCATCAGCATGGGAGCGGCCACTGTGTGACCCTATCCACCAGAGGTGAGATGGACTGGCCAACAGGGCAAAGGATGGCAAAGTGGACTCTTACACACTGTCCCTTTGAGCTGTCTGAGCCCACCTCCTCAAACTCACAGTCTCCCCACAACTGGAGAACGAATGTCCAGTCTGTAAGGAGGGTTGTGAAGTAGGGTGAGGGGCTGCCCTGTGAGGGCTGGATGGGGGCTCTCCATCCTCACAGACAAAGGTCAGCTGGAGCCTTGGGGGCTCTTTTTCTTCCTCTGATACTGAAGTGACAATTGAGAATAGCCAAGGTGAATAAAAGGTGTGGATGAGGGACAAGCAAGAGATGTGCAAATTAGGATTGTTTGGATGCCAGACGGGAGGGACTCTGGCTAAGGCCATACACCCTGTAGAAAGGCTGCCACAATTCCCACACCAGCCTGCCACCTGCCCACTGGCATACAGGCCAGTGGTTTCCCCGCTGAGCCTCAGGTTCCTCATCTGTGCAGTGGGGATGATGACAGTACCTCCCTCTGGGAGTCATTGTGAGGATTAGCCAGGAGCCCCAGAAAGCACTGAGCACCCTGTCTTCCTGGGGTTAAAACTCAACAAACACAAGGTAGTGGGGGGCAGGGTGTGTGGCAAACATATCATGACAATTGGAGGGCAAGGTGGGCACGGGCCACACTCTGCTGGCAGCTGACACCACCCTGCTCTCTACTGCTAGGGGGTTATTGGCAACAATCAACTTGTGCAACACATCTGCCCTTCATCTGCTCCTACTAAGCCAGTGGCACGGAAGAGATCCTGCCTCGGAGCACCCTCCCTACACCCCTCCTGGTGGCCCTGGGCCCACCCTGGGCACTGGGATGGACTCCCAGCCTCCCCTGGTAATAAAGCCATGTTTCCCACTGCATTTGCTGACTCTTGTTTCTTCATTGCTCATTGGAGGGCTCCCCGGGGCTGGAAATCCTGGAAGCCCTCACTCCTGCAGGATGGGGCTTTGAGGGAAGTAAAGGATGGCCAGTGGCCCACAGGGGTGTGGGAATGAGGGTGAGGCACTGAGGGGTTAGGCCGCAGCACCACCTGGGGGCGAAGCCAAGGCTGGGTGGCTCTCCCAAGACCCTTCTCAGCCCAGACTGAAGGATTCCATCTCTCTCTGCACATGCTGTCTGCTCTGAGGGAAGTTCTCATTGGTTGGGGTCTAGTGGGTGGGGAACTGGCCCTCTTGCTTTGTTTGGATTCAGTATAGGGAGGGGGATGGAGTGGGAGTGGGGCAGCTTTCCAAATGAGGGTGATATCACTGATTCAAGAACTGGAGGACTGTTAAAAATTTAACTGAGTACATTTAAAGATGAAATTGGCTTTATTCATCGATTCATGAATCAGGCAGCATCCCATCCAGCAAATAGAAAGACGCTCTGAAAAGCTGTAATAATGGAAGGTATTTATAGGCAGAAGGGAGCAGAAGGAAGGTTCTAGGAAAGACTGCATTGTTTCAGGGGAGGTCACCTTTCTTTGGAAGGGACCTATCAAGAGGATTATCAACCCTAGCTGGTTTGGCTCAGTGGATAGTGCGTTGGCCTGTGGACTGAAGTGTCCTGCGTTTCATTCGGGTCAAGGGCAGGTACCTAAGTTGCAGGCTCCTCCAGAGTCCCAGGGCCTGGCACACATGCAGGAGGCAACCAATCAACCTGTTTCTCTCACATCGATAGTTCTCTCTTCTTTCCCTCTCGCTATGTCTCTAAAACTCACTGGAAAATTATCATGGGGTGAGGATTAAAAATAAAAAAGTAAAAGTAATGAGTAAGAGGACTGGCTTTACATCCCAAAATATGGGCTTTCCCATCCTAATAAGGTACTAGCTAAGCTTGGAAGCTAAGCTCTGTCTTTAGGGTGGAACCCCTGGAGTTCTGTTCACTGCGCCAGCACAGAGCGGGAGCGCAATCCAGACAGAGCTTATCTGTGGACACAGGTCCCAGATCCAGTGCTGGCTTCCGGACAGCCCCAGGTCCAAGCCCTGTCCTGAGAGCACTATTGGAGCTGATCTCATTAGAGGCAGGTTCTGTCATAGCCTCAGCTCCCAGGAGAGAAAACAGACTCTGGGACTTGCCATTCATTTGCATCACACTGCACTGAGACCCACCCTCTGCCTAATGTGGGACTGGACTGACCCTTGAGACAAGAGACTGAGTTTGAAACCCCTTTGGATGTAAATGCAAACATAAGCCAGACAGTCTGAGTTTCAAGGATGCTGAAAACATTGGCAGCATTGGATGGACTGTCTGGGAGTAATGCAGACTGTGTGGGGGTATCAAAGAAGCAAGGACCTAGGAGTCAGACGTGCCACTCCTTTCTAGTTGTATGAACTTGGGCAGGTCATTGAACCTCTCTGAGCTTCCATAGTAGGTGTGAGACTAGAGACAGCAATACCTATTTCCTAGGATGATTATAAAGATTAAGTGGGGTAATGGATGTCAGAGCCTTCAGGTAGCAAAGTGTTTGGTCTGTGGTGGACCTTCAAAAATGTTATTTCCAGTTTTAAATCAGACATGACTGTGGTCACTGAGCCATTGGAATGTCTTTGCCTGGGGTGTGAGTGCTAAGAAGACAGGGGGAGGGGCAGGCTGTAGAGAAGGGAGGTGAGTGAGAGGAGGCAGAGGGAAGGCAGCCATGGGGGGATAAGGAGCTGGAAGACCTGCCCTTAGGCCTGTCTCAGACTTGCTGTTTGATCTTGGGCAACATGTTCAAGCTCTCTGAGGTGCTGTTTCCAAATCCGTAACACATGGCTGTTCAAGGGAAAGTGTGTGTAAAGCTGATCGTGTGTCTGGCTCTTGAGAGCAGCTGAGTATTCCTACCAGTGAATGATATCATGCCCCTGGCCATGGCCCCCAGAGGGAGGAGAATGCTGGGGAGGGGTCTAGCCCTTCCCTCTTCCCACCCCCTGGGGGGGGGGGATCAAACTTTAAATCCAAGACCAGGTTTTTGGGCCCCAGAATTGGCCAATTGCCACACTACCAACACCCCATGTCAGTAGATAAGCTGAGGATCTGGTCCGTTGGGTCAGAGAGATAACAGCCAAGACCGTTACCCTGCAATCAGGCCCAGGAGTTACCTCCCAGATACTTCTCCATTTGCAGGTCCCCTGGGACAGCAGAGGCAGGGAAGGCCTTTCCACCCTCTGGGCTACCTGTCCTTGGTGCTTTGAGCCCTGGAAGACTGAGCAGGGGTCTAAGGAAGAGATACGACTGCCCAGAGGGAATGTCACAGAGTGGGTCACCCACCCTGCCAAGGCCACTAGCTCCCGGCAGGGATATCCAGCAGCGCCAGAGCTGGGCACTTGTTGGCCTCTCTTTGGATGGCAGTAAATGAGCCTGGAGCTCGGTTGATTAAAGTTTTGATATTTTCTTCATCACAGATGTTTTTGCATTTATTTTTATTTCCAAGAAAGATTGCATGAAAGCATTATTTATCTTGACTACTGAATTCTTTAGTGCCCCCTTAAATTTTGCACCTGAGACAAGTGCCTCACTCACTACCCCTAGTCCTGACCCTGGTGGTGACAGAGGGCTGGTGGGAGATGAGCATGGAGGTGGGGAGGGTGGCCCCTATGGTGTCTGAAAGATACTGCATAAAGCTTTCCATTGCAGCTGTCTCCTCTTTGTCTGAAGATATGCCTTGAGGTTGGACTAAATGGCATTTTCTAGACCAGTGATCCTCAATGGAGGTAACTTTGCTCCCCAGAAGACATTTGGAAATATGTGGAGATGTTTTTGATAATCCTGGGTGACAATCAGATTAATGGGGAGAGGTACTCCTGTCATCTAGTGAGTAGAAACCAGGGATGCTGCTAAACTCTCTAGAACCCCCTCCCTCAACACACAACAAAGAATTACTTTACTCCAAATAGTAACAGTGCAAAGGTTGAGAACCTTGTTCTAGATCTATAGCATAGAAGAAAGAGCATAAGTTTTTCACACATTAAAGATGAAAAAAGAGGAAGAGGGACAACTTGAGTGAGAACAAGAAACAGAGGGAACGAGGGGAGAAGGGATGGAGGGAGAGAGAAAGTGATAGATAGATGATAGATAGATAGATGATAGATAGATAGATAGATAGATAGATAGATAGATAGATAGATAGATAGAAGATGTGGGAGCCAAAAGGACTAGAAATCCCAGATCCCTCACTTCCTGTGCACACTTGCAAGGGACTCTCTCTGAATCTCATTTTTCACACCTTTGAAGTTAGGGTCATCATACATTCTCATGGGAATGAGGAGAAGGTGAGGATTCTGGGATGGGATGCATATGAAGTCTCTGGTCTACGCAAGCAATCATGAGGTGGGAGCCTTCTTCCTCCTCCCCTCATTATCCACCAACATCCCAGGATCCTCCACTTCATTGGCTGGGATAGTGACCAGAGGAAGGCTGCTCCTGGGGTTATGACTGGGGCACTTTAGGGGTGCTAATAGTAAGTATATGTGGGCAGTAGACATCTGGGGTCTTCTCCAGCACACCTGGACACCCATGTGTGTCAGTCGACTCCAGGAGGCAGGTCCCTGTAGTCCCAGCAGGGAGCAGGTGAGAGAATTGAGCAAATGCCTTATTATCTACTCCCCTGCCCAGCACCCCAGCCTGGGACAATCATCCTGTTTCTTCCCACTTTTCCAAAAGCCCAATATAAGGATTGCCTCTGGACCCAGCAGTCAGAGACACCAAGAGTGGAGGTCTCTGACTCTTGAGAGGTGAGTGCTCCCCCAGCTGCCCAGGGAGGAGCGGTTCAAGGCTTGGGAGGAAGCAGAAGCCCAGCTGCCCAGGGAGCCTAGGAGGCCTGTCCTTAGGCCCCTGATGGCCACTGTTCTTCCACTCCGTCCTCAGTGTAGTGGAACGGGTCCTGACCTTGAGTAGACCTGTTCCTGCAGGGACAGGGTCTGGGCTAAGTGTCATCTCAGGGGCCAGTGATAAAGCCCATGGGTAAAAGGGACTTTTTCTGCTTCTCCAGGTCAGCATGTGTTCACTGGGGGAGAAGGAAGCCCTCCAGTTTGCCCTTTAATCAGCTACTTAAACAAACATTGCATCTCTGTTGTGTGACAGGGGCTGTGTAGACACAGTGAGCAGACCCACGGCGGGAAGTGAAGCTGTGTCCCTGCCACAAGAACGAGTGAATATGAAACTCCCCCTGCTCCTGCTGCTCCTCCTGCTGGGGACAGTTGCTGCTCTTCATCTGGGTAAGTCCTCCCTTCCCTTCTCATCCAGCTTGACCCCTTCTCCTCTTTCTGGCAACTCCTTGGCTTCTTCTGGGCCAGGCCACAGCTTTTCCTTCTTCAGTGGACCCAGCTCCCCTCAGGTAAGATCTCTCCTGGACTCAGAAATGTGACCTGAACATTGTCAGGACTCCTCCTCAAGCAAAAACCACCCATCTTCTCAGAGGTGCTTCTTCCTACCCCGAAATACACACCTGTCAGCCAGCACCAGGTGCTCACCCCACAGGGAGGAGATCCTTAGGCCTAGGCTCCAGAAGGAGGCACTAGGAAGGCTTGAGTGGGGCTGTCGGAGCTGTCTGTGGTCTTAGAAGGGGACCCCTGACATGTTGGCAGGTTACCTGTTCTTCCAGGGAATGATGCCCCCTATCCTGACAGCCATGAGTCACAGGCAGACCTGAGCCAGGATCTGGAAGGCTCTGGGGAGCAGGAGAGAGAGTCAGTACTGAGTGAGGAGGCGATTCAGTCTGAAGGAGAGCAGGTGGAGGCTTCCAGCTGCCAAGATGCCTTTGAGGATGAAGAG